AGGAGCTTCCCTGTTCATTCTGTAGTATATCCCCTCTTCACCTCCCCGCCTGGAAGTTTCGTGAAAAAGGTGAACTATAGTAACCTCCCTTCAAAAAGCGAGAAAGTGTCGGGTGCAGACCAAACACCACAACTGACGACGGCCTCCAAGTAAATCTGGTTAGAAGTTGTTCATAGTGATAGCTGATTTCTGGTAAATGATAGTTGTAATTAGTGACAATCGATAGAATACAACTGCAACAGGCTAATCATTTCATTGGCAGAAAACATTAACATTTTGTGAAGGCCGTCGTCACTTGTGGTGCATGGTCTGCACCCGACACTTTCTCGCTTTTTGAAGGGGAGGGTAGGTTGGAGGTGGGTGGAACCTGGAGGAAAGCTGAAAAGGAGGTCAAATTGACTGTCTCGCGTGGCTCACTCTGTCATCCACCTCAGCTCAGAACTAGTAGTTGCGTTGGTACAATATTCATCGCGTTGATGCAACACTAACTTTTGACCATTGATCTGATCTCGTACTCACTTTCGGTCCTCGTAGACTGTGTATTGGGTTGTCCCATAATTCCTGTCCGAATTTCGACACTTTCTTCTCATCGAGTTTTATCTAAAACCAATTGATCAAAAATATAACCATTATCATAATCACCGATATGCATCCATTCGCCAGGGAACCTTTGGATGCTTTCCTCCTAGAATGGGTGAAGCTATGAGCTGAAGAATTCAGCAAGGTCGTTTTTGGAGTGGTTGTATTTAGTGACCTTTTCTTCGCCGCTGCTGCTTCAAGGCACTGTGAAGGGGGTAGCCCGATGGAGTGATGCCAGGGCTATACGATGGACATGGTATCGTGGTCCAGCCAGTTTCCCTCAGAACGTGGCGAGTTATCTTTGCAATGTGAGGTCGAGGCGTCTATTCGGAGAAAGGGATTTTGGACGTTTAGGACGGTTCTCTCCCACTGCTAACCCCGGGAGCTGTTCCATGATGGCATTCGCAATACTTGTCCGCATATAGCAAAACAATTATGAAAACGGAAGACCCGCTCAATCTGAAAAAAAAATCAAGAAAAATGTCCTCCGGTTATAGAGTTTGGGCGTTTTGTTGGCACAGTGGACTCATGACTCATCTCCATTGGTGATCGGCTAGGAAAAATCCCGTCTAAGCGGCAGCAAGAGAAGACTTCCGCAGATGGTCAGACGTGCTTCTCGGTCATGGTCGGTCGGTGCATACGGTTTCCTGCTGCCGCCCACTTCATCCTGATGGCGTGTGCTGGTGCATCGGCTGCGCCCAGGTGTCTGCTACAATACCCTGGTAGTAGCGTCCGTGTGCACTTCCAATCCATGGCGCAAGGGGTCCTCATCGAAAGTGAGTGGAGGCCCAGGATGAGGCTGATTTTCACAGCTCGTATTGTCTTTGCCATTGCGACCGAACCTCTAGCTCAGTGACCGATCAGTAGCAGAGACTGAGCCAAACACAGCGCTGATCTTCTCTAGTGTCCTCCTTGCAACAGCGTCTATTTGAGGATCATAAAGCATAATCGTTCGTTATTGTCATTGATCTATTTATTTCGACTTCTACTCAGTTATCCCGATGCGGGTTTGACCTTCCAAAACGTCCTGGCTAACGGTCTAGATGCACTCTTTGACATACCAACATATTTCGCAATGACACTAATTCGACTTGAAGAAATTTGAATTTGATCAAAAATCGGACAGGAATTATGGGACAACCCAATAGCTGCATCAGTATTATTAAGTAGTTTTAACCCATCACGAAGTGCCTTACCTCGCTCCGCTGCCCTGCTGAATGTTTATGTTGTCAGGTGTAAGAGCTGTCCCAACTCAGAAGCTGATCACTTCGACAACTTTTGACTTGGAACTGCATCGGGGGAGTCCATAGTAGTTGAGGTTGAGGGGAAGAACGAGCACAGCTACATTGCTTTCAATGAAAACAAAAGTGTGGATCTTTGAAAACATCGGAAATCCGACTGGAATAATTTTCAACAACTCTTACTTCTTCTTATTTCTAATTTATTCCAATTTTTCATTAAAGCGTCATCCATAGGGTAAGCGAGGGCATGAGCCTAACTGCCGCAAGACTAAGAGGCTTGAAACTCTATTCTTATACCGATATTGTCTTTCTCAAATCTCTGCAGGCAGAGATTTCCGCCTTTGCCGCTTTGTCAGAGCCTGGTCGGCCATCGCAGGAGAGAAACAATATACTCTGTGTTGTGTGTACTTATTGTTAGTATACTGGTGAATATGATATGGATCGGGATCTGATGAAGGCGTCAGAGTTGAATTATGTCAGCCAAGTAACTATGCTATCTTGATTATGGCTGCACAATCCCATGGACTACACTTTGTAGTAGTGCTTCAAGCCTATCCAATGAGAACTTCAGACCTTTGGTTCCTTCACTTAAAGGCAAAGTTCAAGCTCAGACCCACCTAAGAAGTGCTGGAACGCAGCGCAATATTAGCGCCACCTTTCTACATCGAAACCCGTCACAGGACCCTAGGCGCCATGAACTCTAACAGACTCCACCAAACATAACATGGTCCGCCCACCGATCGATGTCTTGTCTGCGTCGCTGCGTTGATCTGCTATGCTCTCTCTTCTCGGAATTCTCTACCACCCTCTGCGCTCACATTATCTCTCATCTCTCTCCCTGTCTTTGAACTTCTCCACAGCATTGAGCAAATGCTCGTATTTCCTGTGCATGGGGGCGGATTTGGGGTTACTGCGTTTTTTCTTTACTGGCGGTCAACCTCCCATTACTTTCACATTTGAGTGGAATCAACCCATTAATGTAATCCTGATTCTTGCCTTCAATCGTAATGTGGCTCAAGTGCTTCATCATCGTCAGGAATATCGTACCACTTCATAGTAATGCACTCAAATGTAATGTAGTTGCTAAAGTTCGCGGATGTGAGTAAGCTTGACATTGCTTCAAAGTTTCAACTTACAAATGTAGATTTGTTTGCTTTCGATAATCAATCCGCTTATGGTTTGGGGCTAGCGTTATGTCGGTGAAGAAGTGCTTGTTATAAATTGTAAATATGAAGTTGTTGTAATACATTGACCTCATTGTGTCTACAAATGCTCAATTCCTAATCACAATTATTGCAGGCTTCATGGTTGATCTTTGCCAGCCTCGCTCCTGGAAGCCTTCACGGTCTACTCAATCCATTGACCTATACATTTTTGTCATGTTTGATCGGACGTGATGAAGTGAGTGAAAGATCGAAAACGTTATTTGATTGAAGTGAATGTATCTTAGAACGCATACTACATCTCTAGAAAACAGCAGTTTATTTAGGACCATATTCTGGCCTTGCCTTGCAGAATGCGAGGGCTGTGACGGGCAATAATTTGCGATATACAGGGGGGGGGGGAAAAAAAAAGACATTTTGCCTCCACTTCCAGATGGATTTAAGCACATTTTACTCAACTCAGACCGAACGGTTCCAACTTATTATTAAAGAGTGCATTCCATTCTATAAGAAAATCTTCATAGTGGCCACGTACGTGGACGGCATCAGAAGAATTAGCCCTGGAAACATGGTGCACTGGTCGATCTCAATGGGGTCTTCGAAGGATCGTGTACCATAACGACCCTTACTGGAAAGCTAGTTCCGAGGGGATTTGCACAGTGGTAGCTAATGCCTCTAGAAAACTATCCAACATTAAATCGATTCACGAAATTGCGTAAGAGCTTCAGGCTGAAGCTCTTACGGTAGACCTCCTTGAGCCTGACGACGGTGACAGATGACGTCATATTCTGAAGACGGTGAGGGCAGTGAAGGAGGGCCTGCGTTCACTTATAGAGGGACACTTAGGGAATACTCTGCTGAGGAACTCCCGTCAACGACAGCAATCTCTGCGAAGAAAAAAGGCCGAAGTCCGACATAGGCAAAATGTCTTTTTTTTTGGCCCCCCCCCCCCTGTATATAGATTTTTTGTTTTAGTCAAGCAAAAACTTGAGAGTATGTCCATTTTGACATCATCGTGATTTGAGTAAGATTCCTTCTTAAGGAGGTGCACTAGGGACGCAGGGAGTTGGCCCTTCGATAGCACGAGATTAGGGTCTCACGGCGGAGTTGAACGAACTATCTCTCCAAGAGTCTCGATTGTTTCGCGTGGAATTTTGCTCTGCAAGTTGGGGTCAAACCACCTTCAGAAAAAGCAGAATTTATCCCGCTTTGCTTTCAAATTTACTCGTCGCCATCAAGCTGTCGACATTTATCTTCACCACTGACACTGTTATTATTTAATGTCGGTTTCCAGCGCGAAGCCCCTCTTGTATTCTACACACCAAAAGGATCGAATTTGGAGGAGGTTGGGTTTTTGCTGCCAAACTCCCAAATCGTTGAAGCTAGGCTACTGCTGCGTGCTGATTTGTTAGAACACTGCACCTAATCCACGTCATCGGTATGCTGGATGACCAATTTGAGGAACCGGGGAAATCAACAGGAACATGGCATTGTCAGATCGTGTTCGGAGCTGATTCGGGCTGTCAGACATAAACTCCATATTTTCAAGCCTCAACGACTCTATCGAGATGTTCAGTACTCTACCTTATCACACCAAAAGCACTCGGACGAACAGCCGTCTGTCGGTTCAAATTCCTTTTCAGTGGCGCCGGTTCGAGCGTCGAGATTGCCATTCACGGGGTACCTGGAGTATGGATCATCTTCAAATATTGGGTTGGTGCATAATAACGGTAGCGGTTTTTTTCGAGCTACAAACTCAGATACAAGTACTACCAAGGAAATCACATATATCATTTGAAAGTACTTCTTCCGCTCTACAAAACCTTGTTTGTTATTTTCTTCTATATTGTAAATGTACTCAGATATGGTGCTTAGAAGTTGGAAACTCAGGGTGGGCGAAAATCTATATAAAGAAAAAAGCTGCCAAAATGGGAGTTTTTCGGGATCTATCGTCATCATCGAAACTTACTCCGATCGACCCTCAATCACAAATCATATTTACGTCGTACATATTGAGAATGATGAGGACTCTGAAAACGGGCTCAGTACCCTTTTTTAAATTCTGGACCCGGCAATCTTTCGCGAAATGGGATCAAAGTCGTATATAATGACGAGAAGAACATCACTGATTAGTTTTATGCTTGGCTTTGCTTTTGGGTTTTGCTTTGAACGTTTTTGCCGAATGCGAGCGCTACGATATTATGCACCAACCAATAAAGAGGGACCTTAAAGCAACAGTTCAGGGAGGGTCCGAAAATTTCAATGCCACTACTACTGAGGGATACACGAGCCCTAGTGAAGAACATATGCAGTGGAAATAATAAACGAACTTACCTCAGAAACTCAAAAACAGGGTGGAAAGTCCCTCAAACATGGGTGTTCTTGGGGATTTCCCCAATCCCGCCCCCTTGCCGGCCGTCATTGGACGCGTCGGCAATCGTGCTCGTTTTGGGGACCACAGGGAAAATTGATTGAAAAATGGAGCGCGTTTACAGCGGGCACGTTCAGACAACTCGTCCAACGTGCGTCTTTATCCATTGCTGAGCGGCAGAGGGAGAGTACCTGTCTAAGACCCTCCCGACGTTTTTTTCCAGTTTTTCATACATTAATCGTCTGGTTTTCATCTACAACTTCATTATTGGTGGTTTTTTCCCGCGAAACCGTTCCTGAACTGTTGCTTTAATGATCGCAATGCAAAGTGGATTCAGGTGATTGCCTCGGCATCTTTCTGATGACGTCTTATGACTGGTGCATCAAAGATCTAGCGTGGGCGTGGTGAATAGCGTCGTTGGTTGAAGAAATTGTATCTTAGCTAAAGAAAGTCGCGGCAAACAAAGGTGCCTAGCCGGTGGATAGGGTGAGGGGGCCCTTTTTATGGGGAGATATTTGCCGGTTGTAAGCGATTGTGTGAAGCTTCGATCTGTATTCAAAGAATTTGCAAAAGCATAATGTAAATGTCTCGATTCGTTGTGCAAACTATATAAGTGCTTTTGTTTAGAAAATTCGATTTACTATAGATGAGTTTGATCGGGCAAAGCATTTCTGCATCAGTTCAATTGCGCAAAAGCTTGCTGGATTCGCTCAGACTGCAATCCTTCAAAATATCTACATTGCCACACTGAGCTGGTACCAGGTGATAACTCTTGTGATGTTTTCAACATTTCGAACATTTTGAAATAACAGTGTTTTCAACATTGGTCGAACTTTTGAAATACGTAGACGTTCGTACAGTAAATGGTTCTTGAATCTCCCCTTTCGCTGCTGAACGCCAGATGGAGATCAATACGAGCGCAATCATTAAAACGCCAATCACTTAGGACTTTAGTCCTCTCCCGCCCAGAAGGTTCGTGCCCGCCCACCATTCGATGTCTCGTCTGCGCGATGTTTATCTGCTATGCTCTCTCCTCGTACTTTTCTCCCTCTCTGCGATCTGTATTATTGACCCGTGCCTTTTCTTGAAAGGACCAAGTTCTTGCATTGAAAAGTGGGGAGTTTCCGCACAAATGTGAAAGCCCTGGGTGCTAACTGTATAGAACCTGGAGAAAAAAAGCAGGGAACTCCAAAAAGGTTCAAAATTATAACTTCTCTTCCGTTACTTACTTACAAGCCAGGGCTGGGAAGATAACGTGTATGGACGTGTTCACAGCAACTGTTGCTGTTGCCATCACCTCGGCCTATACCTTCAGCATTGAGAAAGGTTGGCTTCCCTCCTTATTTTTTGTTTTTCTTGCGCTTTTCTGTTTGCGTTTTTCTAATTTTTTTGGATTTGTTTCGTTAGAGTGGTGGGCAGGGTTTCTGTAATGGCGTTAATGCGGACTTTCGGTATGTTGAGCGTTGAAGTGATGTCGCATCTTCATCCTGCCTTGGCCAATAGAACTTATTATCTGTCGTGTTCCGTGATGGTTGTTGGAAAGATGCGATTGCAAGAACTGTTGGCGGGACCCTCATTGGGTTTAGTAGCAGCGCCATGCTCCACCTGGTCTGCACCGAAACCATGTCAGTCGCCGCACTTCTGCACATGGTTCTGGCCCTATGTACTACTACGATATTTGACGGGCAAAAACCTAAATTTTTGCCAGAAATCCAGACTTTGTTCTTTAATTCTCACGAAGCACAAGGAACTCGGATTCTGGTTTCGGGAGAGGTCTTTTTCTCCGCTTGGCTCGATTTCGCATCCAATTATATGTCGGAATAATCGCAATTGGGACTTCGCAATCAATTTGATCCATCCTGCCTCAAGCATGATAAATTTATGTGGTGAAAAATGAAACGGAACTGATATTCTAAACTATCTTTATAGCCTGTACGCATCACGATCTCTTTAGGGTTTTGTCTGGCTGGTTATGGGTGGAATATGTGTGGTCGCCGTCGGAATCTACGGCTTCGTTCACGTCGTTGCTAAGCGTGAAAAGATCGGATCTTGATATAGACTATTTTCAACGTATTTCGCATTAGACCATTGCTGTACATGTATACTATTTGAATGAATATCTGAAATTTGCCACTTCGATCACCCACCGAAATTGGCTATTCAAATTTTTTCATCAGCCAGGGCTGCGACCTAATTTGAATCGAGAGTTTGAATCGAACTCAAACCTTATTTTAATCCAATTTCAAGTGAACGTCCCAGGAGTTCGATAGCTTTTGAGGACACTAGTTACTGAGGAACGAGTGGTGTCCTGGGTTCGATTCATAAATTTGTTCACTTTTTCTTGAAATTAAGTTTGATTATTTTAACCGTCGTCAATGGAATTTTTCAACATGGCTGAATCAAGCACGATTCTCCTTTCCCGTAAAAATTCTCGAATCTTTCAGACCTTGCTCCTGAGATCTTTTTGATTTCATTTCTTCTTACTTTGAATTGTGCACCCTGCTCTAATTCGGTATGCGTACCTTTTTGAGAAAATCCTAAAACGAACTCTTTCTGCCGATGTGCTTCATGTACTTGGACTCCTGTACGAATACATAGTGGATAGGGCACAGAGAAAATTTATTCATTTTTGCAGCTTAAAAATTCCGCGTAACTTTCTTTCAGTATATTCCAGGAAGCGTTACTGTAGTTACGGCAGAAAGAGTTCGTGCCCTTCCATGGTCTCATAAGTGATGTTTTCTGTTTTAGAGGTCGGCTTGGCGGAACTGACGTAACAAACCGATATCACTGTAAACTGTCAACTTTTGCCCTTGAGAGTGGAATTTGAGAAACAAATGCAATAGATGATTCTTCCTAGAGTGTACGTGGTTCCAATCCGACCATAACAATCAGTTTACAGTTTTGTATTCGGTTAGATCACTCGAACAACATCAAGTACAGTACACTCACTCACGTTCACTTAAAGGCACTTGTCGTGTCGTGATCAAATTGGTGCGCTATTTTGTTTGAAAAGTGGGGGAGAAGTGCGAAAAGGAATGATGGTGGAGAAAAAGCAAAAAGCACCATGGAAAAGATTGGACTTTTCTTTGCGAAGTTGGTACAAGGGAGAGCGCTACGGGGAGAGGGAATCGCGAGGGAGCACTCGTACGCGGGAAGGCGCAGACGTCATGTGTGCAGCTTTTGAGAAAAGTGGCAGTGGTCGCAGCGGTCGAATGAGGGCAACAACTCTCTTGTCACCCACTATTGTCGTGACAGTGCCTCTTCCCTAATGAGTTCTGCTCCCAACACAAGGAATGAATTTTTCTGAGGATGTAATCACGCCCCCTTCCTTTACATCTCGTTTAACCTCACAAGGGAAGCACTCCGTGTGTTTGACAAAAGCGGAATTCAGCAGAAGGTAGAACAATCGTTCACGGAAGTCATTATCATTCACTGCGATAGCTACAGCAATAGCATTGTGAGCATGTTTTGTAATTTTAGAACACCACGTAGGCATGGAGCTTCACAGCAAACCTGGAAAGCCAAATTTTTACGCAATATAGTCACCTACGCTCACGCTCAGAGCATGTGCCACCGAAAGCTAAACTAATAGGAAAAAGGGCATTAAAGAAATCCTTACGGAAAAATCATGATTCTATCTCAGCCATAAATCACTGGCTTGAGACTCATTATCCACGATAAGAATGAAAAGAACAGAAAATTGCATTTGTTTTGGTAAAAAATTCGAAAAATCGAAAGGGCTGCTACGCGTTCAAAGTACCGCCGGACATCTGTCACAAATGCTGGCGACGGGAATGCTTCCACTTGGTTCTTGGAGTGCCTTCACTAGAAACTCTTTCTGGCCTTTTGACTTATTGCATTCACATCTCACACTTCTACTCCATCCTATTCTATCGATCGATTTGTCTCTACTCTCCAAAATCGCGCGCTTTAACCCGATTCTTTCATTGCGTCGCCTGATACGTAGCCGGCCAAAGCGGACTTCTTTCCATGCCTCGCCTTTGGCTCCGCCCACCTTCGATTGTCCATAGAGTGTAGTTTTTGTACGTTTGTTTCTCTTCGGAAACCGAATCTTCATGCGTGAAACTTTGTGTGCTATTTCCAGTGATCACAACTGACACATTCATGTTAGAAAAAGAATGCAAGAATTTTCCGCGAAAGATTCCTTTAAGAGCAGAAGCGAGCTCTTGTTCGTTGTTCACTCCGTCAGCAAAGTGTGAAATCATCTGTCATCACTGACGAGCTCAAGGAAGCAATAGCTGTGCATTCACGTGAAGCGTCGGCGCAATTTCCTTGCTCGAACCACTAGTAGACAGCTTCCTCCTCTTCGTTCCTAGTTGTGGAAGGTCACTGCAGGCTCACTTGCAGTTGAGTATGTCGCTAGGTTTACTTTTTATCTCACATGCCACAAGACTGCTTACACAGCTGGCCCTCCAGAATTCTGAATGTCGGTTCGACCGATTCTATAATATCAAGGATTCATGCTATGACCCAATGTGAGTGCCCACAGTATCCGTTTACTTGATGTGACGAAGGGTTGCTTGCGTCCTCTTCTGAGGTAGAACCATTTTTTACTCACTCTCCTTGTCTTTGGGCGACACCATCTTGAGTTGGTGTCTGTGGTCATAGACGACAACTTGCCTGATCACACCTAAAATAGCGCCCATTACTTACCCATTGAGTTGGTGGTGGTCATAGACGACTTGCCTGATCACAGCGCCCATTCCTTACCCAAGACATTCGTATGAGTGAAGGGAAATTTTCTGAAGCCCACTCCTTACATCGTTCACAACACACCTTTGAATTCCTTCACGGTCCTGCGTACGATTTGAACGTGTGACGCATCGCCAACAGTTTCGCCAATGCTCACTACTTTACTTTTACTTCTTTTATCTGGAAATTCGCCCCTATGAAACAAACACGCTTGAAGAAGGAGGTGTTATTTGATTTCAAGCATCCGGCATCTCAATTGTTTTTGTTGTCATTTTGTTTACGTTTCTTACTTTTCCGAATCACCAGCCCATTGACGTATTCAAGCAAACTTCATCGGCTCCTCGAGGAAGAAAGCATAGGTTTCCTGGGCTGCCTAATAATAACTCACCTGTGTATATTGATCAACCCTGCTGCGCTAACTCATCTCCTTCTGATTTCATTTATTTATTTATTTCTCAATAAAATTTATTTATGCTTGAAACGGAGACTAAACTATTCTTTGAATCCCACCCCTAGAATAAATTTTGAAAAAAGTACATATAACAATATTGAGATCGAAAAACAAAAGCAAAAACAATTTTGGTTTACAAACAGAACAGTTTAATGATATACAAAATCAACAATTTTATTATTAAAAAATCGCTTCGATGGAAACAGATGGATAATTAATTCAAAATTGGAAATACTAGGGGATCGAACATTTGTGCAACAACAACAGTATTTGACACCATTTCTCGTTAGGGCCGGAGTTATTTTCGTTCCTACTTTTCTGACCCGCTGCTGACGTCACCTCTCCTTTTATTGGTCATTTATGCAACTGTGTAAAAAATAAATGATAAAAAAATTCACATTGGATTATTGCAAAATTAATGCCGTTTTTGAATGTGAACAATTTTTGTCAAACAACAACAGCTTGGCATCTCAGAACGATAGATGGATTTTTCCTTGTTGTTCAGGCATCGACATTTCTCACGCATGAATTTGACTCTCTCAAATAACTGGAACAGTAGCAATAACAAACTTTTATTCCCACGGTCGAAATTTTGCAATTTCAAGATAATTTCTCCACCACAATTAGCTGCGTTGACTCGGACAGGCAGCAGTTACAAGAGATTTTTCAAAACGGTTTTGTGCATATTGTAGGGACGCATGTAGGGAACGCAAAACCATGTTTCATTTTCGCTGAACGGTTATAGCAGTACCAAAAAAGAAGCATAAGGTACTGTTAAGGGGTTCGATCCCCCGTGGCGACTAAATTTTGCATTTGGGTTGGCGCCTACGGTTTGGTGCCAAATCGCGCTAAATATCAAAATCAGGGGAGACGGTCAATTCAATCGTCGGCTAATGAGGTCACGCCGCTCACGCGGCGGGCAGCGTCGCGCGCGGCAAATGGTGCGGCGATTTTGTGTGGGCCTTGGCTTAACGGTCCTTGTCCATAAGTTGCTGGTGGGGTTAGAGAACTGATAAGACCAAAGTTCCAGACATCAGTGAGCCAACAAGAACCACCTCTCCGCAGTTATTTAAGCCTCACTGTACAGAGCTTGTGCCATGTAAAGGTTGTCCTTTTGAACATAATGAGACTTCTTTATTGATACTATCGCCACGATTGAATAGTCACGCACCCCAAAATCAGATGTCAAATTCATCGTCAGGACCATTTTGAAGCCAACAAGTGGCCGCCAACCTTGATTGCAAAATTTAGTCGCCGCGGGGGATCGAACCATCAAGAGTATTATTCACCACTTTTTTGGTACTACTAAAACCGTTCAGCGAAAACGAAACATGGTTTTGTGGTCCATACATGCGTCCCTACAACATGCACTAAACCGTTTCCAAAAAGCGCACCTTGCCCTGAAAGACCTCCCTTGTTAGATTGAGTGTGAGAGCTGTAAAGCGAAGGATTGCGATACATTGTGTGCACAAGAATTTAATTACAAGCACCAGTGGAAGCACAAAAGTCAGGGGCCTAATGAAGCGAAATGTGGCGTTTTCGTGGCCAGAAACGTGCTATTCTAGTTCAGGGTTGAGAATCTGCCGATTCTTTTCGAGCTGCGCCTTCGCCGTGTATGCCCCGCCTTTAGTGCATTGCTAGCAGTATCATTGTTCTGATCTTTCAGATAAAATATTCCACTTCGAGCGCATAATAACTTTCCCATGGAATGCTTATCAATCAAGGCATGATCTCTGGTGGTATGATGGTGGCTATGGTTTAACATGTGCAAACGACCTCTTAGTTGGTTGCTAGCTCGTCCATTATCGGAGGTCAACGGGCAAAGAAAGGGTCCCATTTTGCGCGTTCTTGACGGATTTCTTTGCTTTTTTCGCCACTGGGGCATTATT